ACATCAAATTCGGCCTCACTTGTCAAGAAAAAGAAGGCGTGGATTTGCCACAATGTATTATTTGTTTCAAAGTCTTGGGGAATGACTCAATGAAGCCGGCTAAGCTGAAACTCTATCTTGAAAAGTGTCACCCCAACTTGTTGCAAAAAGATTAAGATTATTTTGAGCGGCGGTTATCAGGTCTGAAATGGCAGCGCCTCGACTCAACAAGTGCATTCTACAATAAGACAAGCAATGCTGTGCGTGCTTCCGACATTGTTGCATACAAAATTGCACAGGCCAAGAAGCCTCATACCATTGTAGAGCAACTTGTGCTCCCCTGTGCAAAAGAGATGGTGCGGCTTGTTCTTGGCGAGGAAGCAGCAAGGAAGCTGAATGATATATCTGTCTCTAACGACACAGTATCGAGACAGATAAATGACATATCACAGAATATCAGTGAACAAGTTGTGGATGAAATAAAGACGTCTCCATTGTTTGTCGTACAATTGGATGAATCGACCATTGTGCTCTCAGCTATTGGTGTTCACACGATACATGGTTGAGGGAGACTTCAAAGATAAGTTTCTTTTTTGTAAGACTCTTCATACCACCACAAAGGCTCAGGATGTGATGGAAATCGTTAACAATTTCTTTGAAGTACATGGTCTGGATTGGGTAAATCTTGTGGGTATCACCACTGATGGTGCACCTGCCATGCTGGGCTCAAGATCGGGCTTCCAAATGCTGGTGAAACAGCACGCTCCAATGGTAACCAGAGTTTATTGCTTCATTCATAGGGAAGCTTTGGCGTCAAAAACATTGCCTGATCAACTGAACGCTGTTTTCAAAGGGTTGGTGAAAGTGATGACTCGCGTCAAATCATCAGCTCTGAACACTATGCTGTTCAAAAGATTTTGCCTGGACATGGGTTCCGACTTTGATGTGTTGCTATTCTACACTTCTGTATGGTGGTTGTCAGCAGGGAACGTACTCAACAGAGTTTTTCAATTGAGAAAGGAGTTGGATTTATTTCTCCAGGCTCAAGGAAAAGAGGAATTCCGAAATGTGCTGACACAGTCAAATTTAGAACTTGCGTATCTTGTCGATATTTTTGGAATCTTGAACAAACAATCTTCAGCTGCAAGGGAAAGGTGCAAATCTGTTCTCTCATCAAAGCATCATCAAGGCTTTTCTTGACAAATTGGAACTCTGGATCGTAAGAGTCAAAGGCAATAATTTGGTTCAATTTCCATATGTGGATGTCATGCTCAGGGAAAAGGAAGCCATTCGGATGCAAATTCTCGATCATTTACGGAAGCTACGAGACGAATTCCAACAATACTTTCTGGAGGTGGACAGGACAAGGGATAGATTGTCTTTCATCAGGAATCCGTTTACAACAGATGTTAATAGTGTTCCAGAGGATCTGCAGGAGGAATTCTTGGATCTGAAAAATGATTTTGGGCTCAGGACGTGTACCAGCAGTCTACCATAGAGAAATTTTGGGCCAGCGTGACCGGGAGTTACTCAAATCTGTCAGCACATGCAGTCAGAATTCTTTTGCCATTTGCATCAACTTATATGTGTGAGACTGGATTTTTGTGTTTGTTGCACGTTAAGTCCAAACAGAGGCATTGGCTTGCAGTGGAAAGTGATATTTCTTGTGCATTATCAAGTACCACTCCAAACATTGAAAAGCTTGTCAGTGAGAAGAGAATCCACAAATCTATTAGTAAGAAATAAAATTTCAAACCAAAATGTTCATTGTCTGCTCTTTTTTATCATGTATCAAAAAGGAGGTGGTCCACGAAAATTTTTTGATTGGTCTGGTGGTCCGTGGATTGAAACAAGTTGAGAACCACTGGACTAGAGCAAGACATGACCACACTGACTTTAAGAATGTCAGTACTGTAGCTTGCATAGTAATTGTACCATTAGAGGGAGCCTCTAGAAGCAGGTGTGTTCACACGTGCCTGTGCAAATCCACATTCCATCCAGCAGAGGGCAGATGCGTAGAGGTGGCCTAACATTCTAGCAAGTGCATAGAATGTGTAAATTTGTGGTGCACTGGAGCTACATACACTGCCCTCTCTTGCGCAAAAATATATGCAAATGAGGCAAAGCGTGGAATATTGCTGCGTCCATTTGCATAATTAATTAGGCTCCATTTTTGCACAAGAGGCTTTTGTGCAAAAAGGAGCAGTCTACACAGCTCCATTTTGCGCAAAACCCCCCCTCTTGTTCAAGAGCCGTTCTTCCTGAAAAAAAGCAGCAAAATGGCTCTTGCGCAAGAGGGGTGTTTTGTGCAAAAAGGAGCAGTGTAGACTGCTCCTTTCTGCACAAAAACGGAACCTCGTTAATTATGCAAATGAGGCACGGCGATATTCCACACTTTGCCACATTTGCGTATTTTGTTGTGCAAGAGAGGGCAGTGTAGACATAGCCTAGGAGTATATTTCCTTTAAATGACTTTCTTTATTATATTGAAAGGACCACTTTGTGTTCATGGATCCATTTGGTGCTCAGTTAAATTTATTCTTTTGCAGTTCTGGTTCTTCAAGTTGCATTAGATGAAAGCAGGTCAAGTGTAAATTCTTTAAACAAATCACAAGCTTCCCTTGTGAATCCTGCTCTTCTTTGCATGGGAGGCATGTCTTTTGAATTATTGTGTTTTGACAGATGCTGACAGAGGTGAATTCATATTTCCTCCATTTGATGGCAGCAGGCCAGATTTTATTTGTCTAAGATAGTCAGAGTGCATGGTTCCATGTCTTTATTTTGGTAATACGGTTCCAAATGGAGCAAAGACATTAACACTTTTTGTCAACAATCTTGAGGGTATTGGTGGATTTCTTCAGGAGATAGACTAAAAAAATCCTGGCACAAAACTGAAGTGTAGGACAATGAATAGGGAATAACTGATCTTTATGAGCAAGCTGAAGATGCTTTGGTAAACACAAAGTAGGTCTTATTCCTGAAACTATCTCCTCGTTTCTGATGCCGAGCATAGGGATTTCATGCATCCATAAATGGATCATCCATAATGGTTTAGTTAGGAGTAACTATTGGTCTGTCACAATGTACTTTGACAACTTCTCAGTGGGGTAAGCTCTACTTTTATTACTATGTGCAGTTATTACGGGTGTAGTATCCCCAGCAGCATAGATATCTCTGTCCACATTATAATATAGTCTGTGACACTGCACCCCATATTCTTCATGGTGATAGTATGATGATTAAAGCATAATTATGATGCATTTTGTACAAAAGGGGTCATTGGAAAGGCTATGATTTGTTGGATATGATCATCCTATTTGCATGCATATATTTTTATATCTAAAGCTATGAATATTGACTATGTGTCTGTATTTCAAATGTGCTTACTTTGGGTGACACTCACAATTAGCTTTTTGGGTACAACAACGAAGAAGCCAGACAGTGCTGATGGGCCATCAGCAAAGACAAGGGATTCTGGAAGAACTTAATCTTCCTCTAACCATTCAGGACAGCTTTAAGTAATGGCTGCTATGACGGTAGAAAGACTTGTGACCAGGTCACATGATTCTGGATTGCACCATCAGATGTCTGTATTTTTCCACAAATTAGTCTGGGAACCAAGTTTTGAAACAAGGGTTCCCACCACATGGTAAAGCTATATAGCATATATAAGGCAGGGAGTGACATCAGCTGTGGTACTTCACTTCTCACACAAGAAGACTCCTGGAAACATCTGAGGAACAAAGACTGGACCCAGGCTAAGTGGATTTCTAGCCTTTGTATGAAAAACATGGAGGTTCCCAACTGTAAAGCAAATTTAGCTTGTAACATCTGAGAATCTGCAGCCTGCTTGTATCATCAGTCAGGGTGAAAGATTGTTAATTCAAATCCTAGACATCTAGTACATTAAGCTTATTTTTCATTTTTGTTTATTTGCTCGGTAATCTGCTTTGATCTGTTTGCAATCACTCATAATCACTTAACATCCATCGTTTTTAAATTAATACGTTGATTTTATGATTTAATCTAAACCAGTGATTTCGGAGTGAAGTGCTTAGAAATCTGTTTGGTTTTGCACAGGCTTGTTGCATTTCCTCTCAACATTGAGGAGGTGGCGAGGTGGGTAATAAATTCGTCTTGTCAGAGTTTGGATCAGGGCAGGATGATACAGCTCTGGGGTCATAGGCTGGGAAGCTGGTTGTTATTTTAGCGGTAGCCTATCTATTGTTAGTTTATGCAGTGGCTGCTCAGAGAGCCTGCATGCAACTACAGCTGGGTTTGTCCCCACCTGTGTGATTGCTGGAGGAAGTGTAAGAGAAGGAGTGGCTTTGCACAGTGTGTGAGTGAGCCCAGGCGGGTGGGTTAGGGCTCAGTGTTACCTCAGTTCCCTCTGGGGAAACCTGTCACTTAGTCAACACAGATAAGTAGAGCCCTGCACAGATACAAAATGTATATCTGTGTCCATACACACCAAAATGAGCAGTGGACATCTGCTCCACATCCACAGATGCGGCTATAAAGCAGATATCTGTGGATTTGCAGGCCTCTACAGATAAATATAGGAAGTGCCAAAGTATTTATTTGCTATTGGTCAGGAGGGGTGCACACAGTACTGGGAATCAGTAGGTCCTAAATTCTCATCTTTAATTCACCTGTTAGTCAGCGTATAGCCTTGACAGTTTATTTCACCTGTCTGCCCCATTGTCTCCCTGTGTGGATAATAGCACTACACTGAACAGGAGTGTGAGGATTCATTAACATCTGTGAAACACCATATAATGTGATGCTTCTCTTATAGTTCAACTTCACTTTTAGTGCAGACACAACTATGCCTCTTTGGGTCTCGTACAAGGTTTGAACACTTGAACTTCCATACTAAGAACATGAGCCTTCTCCAGGGAGCAGGAAGCTTACTTTGCCTCTGTATTCGACACTGGGGTGACTTCTGCTGGAACACTGGCTCCATTTCTGGAGCCCACGCCTCGAGACGGACAAGAATGATTAGAAGATTAAAAAACATGCCGGACAGTGTTTCAGTTTATTTAGCTTGCTAAAGCTGCTTACTTACAGGGGCAAAGTAAGGGGACATCTCCTTATCGTTAAAGCAATTGCATCCACAACACTGAGAATCTGGAACTACCAGCAGTATCAGTGCACTGTTTTCACAGGGTGATGATAACACTGCCAGCTGCTAGAAATAGAACTGTCAATTCCCTTATTGCCCATTATACAGTTTATGCAATTTAAAGAAAAACAACATTGTGCCCTTTTTGGGTAGCTCTACCAGTCTCTTGTCGGTTGTAGATATATTCCAGCTCGAAATCAGAGTATTCTTCTGTTCCAGGGAGGCTTCTTTCTGAGAGTGTCCAAAGCAAACAAGTCAGGGCATTTTCTGTGGAAATGGACTTGGGACACTTGAAGCTCTCAGCTGCCAGAACTATACATCCACACCAACTCCTCCCCCCACCACCCTAAGTCAACAGCAAATTACTACATAAGCCAAGTGTGCCAAGAGAGTGATCAGTCTTCAATTTCCAAAGGGAGCATCACCAGCTCAGCATGCAAAAAAGACATTCATTTGGAATCTTACATGGGTAAGTCTGAAGATCTGCCTCTGATTCCTCCTAAGGGCCAGATGTCCAGAAATTAAATATGTTTAATCAGTCCCACACTGATTCCAAAATGTCCAGTGTCGTGTGTTAAGATGAGTACTGTACAGATAATCAGTTCATTGGTTCACTAGTTGAACCAAAACATTTCAAGAAATTGTTTGGTGTCAACCCAAAATGAAACACACATTTCAAGTTCAAGTTTTTTTTTTTTACCTTTTAAAAAATAAAGTTGATGTAAAATTAAAACCAAAAAGTTATTTTGAATAAAATAAGGTGTTTTTTTTTAAAAAAAAGATCTTTAGTTCAATGAAAACAATCCAATGAATTCAGCATAAATTCAGAAAATGTTTTCAGTCAACTTGAAACTGCAATTTTTGGTGGAAAAGTTTTGTCAAAAAATTGCTAAGTTCAAGCTAGGATGTGGATGAGCCTTAGAACCGTAACATTTAGAAAGACACAAAGAAATAAATAGCCCCTTTTATTCAGGACAAACCCCAAGAATAAAAAGACGTGAGAAACAGGTTAAGATGTGATCCCATTATTGTGGGAGATTTTCAGCATGTTTGCAGCTGTAGTCTGCTGTTGAAGAAAAAGCTACTTAGCCTGAAGCAAAGCACAGAAATGAAATTTAATAAATGACTTTTGAAGCAAATAATTTATGACACCATGTGTATATTGTCACTCTCCAAAACTACCAAGAGTATTGAAATAAATCACTGTATGATCACTACAAATGGTTTACATACAAATATAATTTTCAGCTCTGATTTCAATTCAGATGGGAATGTGAGAGCTGATAGTTTTATTAATCTTTGTTGCCTAACTCACTGCTTTAAACCAAAATCAATTTTCAAAGAGAGAATTTGCTCTGAAGTAATGAATCAGCTTCTTAGAAAAGTTTGCACTAAATTAGAATAGAAGCATTTTTTACCAATTTCTTTGCTAATCTCTTTGGAGCTGTAGTAATGCAGTAAAGTTCTTACTGTCAAATATTTAGAACCAACTGACATCCAGAGTAATGTAAGGCAAGAGATAAGGTAGTTCAATAAATAGAGTGCTAATACAATACAGCTGACCTTAGATTAGACTATTTTATACAGACTTTATGCCAGAATATGTCTGAGTTAAATTATACAATTAAATACTTAAATTATATAATTAAATTATACAATAGCTATTTTGGAAGAGATGTTATTCCTTGTACAATGAGGTTTATGTGGAAAGTAAAATGGAAGGTTCGAGAATGTGGCCAGCCCCAGAGAGGTACAGAAACAGGCCGCCTTGTATTGAATATTTTTTAACTTTTATTAAAATGCTTTTAACTATAACTTTTTATTTATCAACTTTTTACATGCGTGGGTGCCAGATAACTATTAACAGTAACAACAAACAAACTGCAATACAATAGAGGAAAATGCCCTGGGGTTTCTCTAAGTCTAAGTAATTATCAATAACACCCCAGGGATCTTTATCAGTTATATTTACATTAATTTTATTCATAAGATCTGACATCTATCTAAACTCCTAACTATACTATTTAACAAACTTCTAACTAACTTACTCTTAACACTATTATTTATCAAACCTTTAACTAACTTTACACTGCAATACTCACATTTATCAGACATACAAGAGACAACAGAGACAACAGCATATTCGTTATTCGTTACGCTCTGCAAAAGATTCGGTAGATTCAGTGAGCGGGAGGGGGTCCTCGGATGATCAGCCCTCAGAACCTGGCTCGTGTTCTGCCTTCCAAATGTTCGGGAACCCTCAATTGCATGCAGGAGGGGTAGCTGTTTTATAGAGAGAGCAAGAGCTTTCCCGCGCCTAGTTGTGATAGGCTTGACAGATTCAGTCTGCCTAGTGACAGGCTGAGGGGAAGGGGAGGGGGTGAGATGGCCCTTGACTGGCGCGAACTTTGCATGACCTTTACCTGCCTGGTGTCTTACTCCTGGTTTTTACTGCTCTTAAGTCACATAGTGCAGGATTTTTGGTTTGAGGGGACGGTAAACTTGGGCTAGGGAAGGCTATGCACACGAGCCCTGGCCAGAAAAGAGCCTGTTTTCACAGTTTACAAAAGTCGGAATAAGCCATCTGTTATTTTGAGTTTATTTTGAAATAACAGAATTGCTGTGTAGACGCTCTCATTGTCATTCTGCAATAACAGCTGTTATTCCAGAATAACGGTGCAGTATAGATGCACCTGTAGAGAAAGCGTGAAGCAGCATTCTTGACATACTAGAATCTGAAGAGCTGCAGTTTGTGGAGACCATAAGGTAGGGAATAAAAAGATCCTCCAGCAATAGCAGAGTCAAGGCAGTGGCACGTACAGGAGAAGCTGAAGAAGTAGTGCTAGATGTGCAGACATGAGCGATGTGGGAGGAGAAGGGCATTTCAGGGCAAAGATTACACCATGGTTACAGACAGTGAAGACAAATTGGGAATCTGAATTGAGGGAAACGGGGGAAATTGAGTTGCTTGAGTATCCTCCTTTTGCTTAAGAGAAACACTTATAATTTAATTAAAAACTTACCCAGCGTTGCCCAGGTCCTTCAGGGCGGGAGACTGGCAGTGAAGGGGATAGAGGAGTTAAGGCAGGGCCTTAGGGTGTGTGTGTGTGTGTGTGTGTGTGTGTGTGTATATGTTGGGGCATGGTGGCAGGAAGCCATGGAAGTGGGAGGGTGCAAGAGTCAAGGAAGAGGGGATGAGGAGAGGCTCAGGGCAAGGGTGCGAGAATCAGGGCAGAGGGTTGGGAGAAGGGGGAGCTCAGGAGCAGGAGAATTGGGCTCAGTGAGGGGATGAGAGTGGCCACTGGCTTCTCCTCGGATGACCTGGAGCAATGGGGACTGTACCAGCTTGTCCTGGGGGATGGGGGGAGTCAATGCACCCTGCCTGCCAGCTTGTCCCCAGAGACAAGGGGCTACTTAAACAGTCTGGTGGCTAGCAAGATGGCAAGCTCCATCCCCAGATGGCCATTCTCTTGATGGTGCAGCTGCTCTCAGGGGTCACTCTGCAGTATCATTGTCCTCTGATCGGCTCCCTCCTTTTCCATGTTATGGAACACATCCCCAAGAATGGCTGGCTTGATCTCCTGCCATGCTGCCATACCTAGACCCCCTCCTCTCCCACCCGTAGGCTCCTCAGTGTCCGTGTGAGGCTCTACCCTGTTGCCACACCTGTATCCTTTCCCACCCACAGACTCCTGTGGGAAGGGAAAGTTGCACTCTCATGGCAAATGGGGTGGGTGCCCCATGCCCTCCCTGCCATCATGCTCAGACACCCACCTGCCCATGGACTTGAGCCCTGGCCTTGCCTGCCACAAACCAAGCCCTGCTGCTCCCTTAAGATCTCTGTGGTGTACCTGCTGCATAGTGGACACTTAAAACATAACTGTGACCTTGTACATAACACGTCCCTATTGTGTTTGGATAGACCTTCCAATATGCTAAGAGATTAGGTTTTATACTCCACCATTTATCTTCTGTGAGGTCTGCTCCTCACTTCATTAGAGCAGGTGCAGCAGCAAGTGAGTGGATGGAGGAACATGCTGCTGCAGGAGATGTGAGCGAAATTGAGGACATGAGAGATGTAGACACAGGAAAAGGAAATTCCTGAAAATAATTGGCATAGTGGCATTGAGCAAGAGGGTTTTTCTTGTGCAAGAAGAGGCAGTGTAGACAGCTCCTTCTGGTTCAAGAGCCTCTTCTGCAAAAATGGTGGCTCATTAGGTATGCAAATGAGGCTCGGCAATATTCCATGCTTAGCCTCATTTGCATATTTCTCACGCAAGCAGCCGTGAGTGTAGACATAGCCCAAGGATAACTATTTGCATTTCAGCACATCCAATGTTAATTGTGTGGTCTGGCAAGAAAGTTTCATTTTGCACTATGTCCTGCACATTTCCCAAGATAACTGCCTTTCATAGCAGAAGGGTATTGATTGCCCTGGCTACTTGGATCACAATAGCTCCCACTATAAATTTCCCCACTCCAAGATGGTTCCCAACCGACCAGTAGCTGTCCAGTGTTGCAAGTTTCCACAGGGCTTTTGCCACTCGCTTCTCTGCTATCAGAGCAGATCTCATTCCAGTATCGCTGCACTTCAGAATGAGGGAAAGCAATTAGAAAACTTTCATGAGAGTGGCCTTAAGCATGCAAAAGTTTTGCAGCCACTGCTGATCATCCTATAGCTGCATAACTGTGCAGTCCCACAAGACTGTGCTTGTCTCATGACACCAGAACTGGCATTCCACTGTGTCAAGAGGGTGGAATAATGCCACCATCTGCCAATAGCTTATCGGATTCACTTCACAGAAGAGCATATTCATGGCTTCCTGAGATTTTTCCTCATTCCAGCGGGTCCTGGATATGCTCTGGATATACTGCAGCATAAGGCGCAAGATGGTCAATGTGATGCTGTCGTGATCATGAGAGATGGCCAGCAGCCTGGGGACTAAGGGTTTAACTGTACCTAACTCAGGTAGAGTTGGCAAATAGGAATGTGGGTAGGAATTTCAAATGGGGACAAAGGAATTTTTGGGTTTCCCTCCTTTGTCTCAGGGGAGTAGTCTCTCTCCAGCTATTGAAGGGGACAAGGTGTCTCCCTGTAAGAAAAAACTCTTCACAGTCTGTAAGTAGCATAAAGTTTAGATATATCCATTAGGTTTTATTGTTTTTTGGTTTGGAAAATGGGATCTAGTGTCTGTGCATTTAAAAATGGATTTTGCTCTCCTTTGTAACTAAGGGTATGTCTACACTACCCCCCTAGTTCGAACTAGGGGGGGTAATGTAGTCATATGGAGTTGCAAATGAAGCTCGGGATTTGAATTTCCCGGGCTTCATTTGCATGAAGCCGGCCGGCGCCATTTTTAAATGCAGGCTAGTTCGGATTAGGCTTCCTAATTCGAACTAGCTGTACACCTTGTCATGATTATGAGGGTTAGCCAGCAGCCTGGGGAGTAAGGAGTTAACTACACCTAGCCAGGTGGAGTGACCAGTAGGAATGTAGGTGGGACTTTCAAACTGGGACAAAGGAATTTGGGTTTTTTCCTTTCTCCTTTTGTCTCTCTGTGAGAGTCTTCTACAGTTACAGGGAGGGACAAGCATGTCTCTCTCTTTCCAAGAAACAATTCTTCACTTTCTGTAAGTAGGGTAAAGTTTAGGTAGTTTCGTTAGGCTTTATTGTTTTAAGGGTTGGGTATGGGATCTGCTATCTGGCACAGCTTAAGAGATGTTTGGCTTTTTTTCTTAACTAATTTCTAGCCCATGGTGTAACTCCTCCATGAGTATATTTTGTTACCTTTCCATCTGATTCTTATGCTTGCAACAGGAATATTGTTGTAATAATAAAAGTTTTCTCTTTGCTTTTTATTAACCTGGCATTGGTTACTTGTGTGTCCTGATTTTTTTATAATTGGGATGAGATTTCCCAAATGATCTTTCCCCTAATCTCGTTATTAATATTTGGGTGGTGGCAGCGGAAGTTTTATTCCCAAAATCTTGGTTTTTAAGATTTTGGGGGAAGTTTTATACCAAAGCCTGGTAGATAAGGTTTTGGGGTACTTTTGCTGGCCCCCACTTCTGCATTTATCATGCCAGAGTGGGGAAAGGGCCATGACAGATGTCATAGTGCTTTGCTGCTGAACGGGTTCCATGCTTGCCCTGATATGGCACCTGCACAGATAACCAGGGAAAAAAGAGCACGACAAGATTGTTGGCCATTGCTTCCAAGCAGGGTGGGAGGAGGGAGACAGTGAGTGCATTATGAGACATTAACGGCATGTACCCAGAACCACCCGCTGCACTGTTTTGGTCCCATTGGGCACTGAGAGTATAAACCAGAATGCAAAGGACAGTAGGAACTGTGGGATAGCACTGAGGACAAGTTATGTCAAACTGTTGCACACAGTTGGGACATGCATCTTCATCTTTACTATATCGGAAGCTAGAAAATTGATCTTAATAAATGTGACCGTATCTCTGAGTATGGACAAGGCCTTACATTTAGATCAAATAAGACATTGGGATAGAGAGTACGCTTATTAAGTTTGCAGATGATACCAAACAGGGTGGGCTTGCGACTTCTTTGGAGGATAGGGACATAATTCAAAATGACCTTAGCAAGTTATAGAAATGGTCAGAGGTAAACAGGATGAGGTTTAATAAAGAGAAATGCAAAGTGCTCCACTTAGGAAGGAACAATCAGTTCCATACATACAAGATGGGAAGCGACTGTCTAGGAAGGAGCATGGCGGAAAGGAATCTAGGGGTCATAGTGGACCACAAGTTGAATATGAGTCAACAGTGTGATGCTGTTGCAAAAAAAGCAAATATGATTCTAGGTTGTATCAACAGGTGTGTTGTAAGCAAAACTCGTGAAGTCATTCTGCCGCTCTACTCTGCACTAGTTAGGCCTCAGCTGGAGTACTGTGTCCAGTTCTGGGCGCCACATTTCAAGAAAGATGTGGAGAAATTGGAAAGGGTACAGAGAAGAGCGACAAGAATGATTAAAGGTTTAGAGAACATGACCTATGAAGCCAGGCTTCATGAACTGGGCTTGTTTAGTTTGGAAAAAAGAAGATTAAGCGGGGACATGATAGCGGTTTTCAAATATCTAAAAGGGTGTCACAAGGAGGAAGGCGAAAATTTGTTCCTCTTGGTTTCTGAGGACAGGACAAGGAGTAATGAGCTTAAAGTGCAGCAGGGGAGGTTTAGATTGGACATTAGGAAAAAATTCCTAACTGTCAGGGTGGTCAAATATTGGAATAAATTGCCAAGGGAGTTGGTGGAATCTCCCTCTCTGGAGATATTTAAGAACAGGTTAGATAGACATCTGTCAGGGATGGTGTAGATGGAGCTTGGTCCTGCCTTGAGGGCGGG